CTCTAAAAAGAGAAAGTCCACAGTACACGGAAAAGACTATGAAATATAACAGAGCTCTCAAAGGATAATTATGGCTTTTTTTTTAGTTAAAAGAAATCCAAAAACAAAATACTAGTTTAAAAAAAATTTTTTTTAATGTTTATTTTTGAGAGAGAGAGAGAGAGTGTGTGTGAACAGGGGAGGGGCAGAGAGAAAGGAAGACACAGAATACAAAGCAAGCTCCAGGCTCCGGGCCTTCACCACAAAGCCTGATGCAGGACTCAAACCCATGAGCCATGAGATCATGATCTGAGCAGAAGTCAGATGCTCACCCGACTGAGCCACCCGGGTGCCCCCATTTTTTTTGTTTAAAAAAAAAAAAACTTGGGACCAAAAGAAAAAAAGGGAATCTTTTCAAAATTTAAATCTAGGATGGCAGAATTAAATTTTTCAATATAAAGTTTGGGAGATAAAATTAAAGAGTTCTTCCAGAAAACAGAACCCAAAATTCCAATATCAAAAATGCTTTAAATAAAAATGCTCCTGCCCCCCCAAATAAGAGGTGACATACACAAGGTGTCAGAATGGCATGGTACTTCTAAAAAGCAAGACCAAAAACTAGGATTCAATATAATAATGCCTTAAAACACTGAAATTTCTAATATATAGTTCTCTACCTTGTAAAATATCAATCCAGCCTTTGGATATAATACAGACATTGTCAGTCATGCAAGGTCATAAAATATTTATTTCCCGTGCGACATTTCTCAGGACTTACAGAGGACATGTTACACCAAAATGAAGAGGTAAGCCAAAGGAATGCTTGAGATTTACAAGAGAGAGATTTACAAGGTAAAGGATGTGAGCAAAAGAAATGCTCAAACAGTGAAGAGAAGCCCCAGACTGATGGCATAACATCTAAATTGGAATAGGAGGATGGGGGTCAAAAAAAAAAAAGTCTCCAAGGAGAAAATAATAGCAATAAGTGAATGGAACACCCAATGTGTCTAGCATATGCCAAGTTTTAAAATACTACCAGACTATTTCCAGGTGAAGTCATGGGAATATAAATACATATATATATAAGCATACAAAAAGGTGAAATTGATTAACCTCAGGAAAAACACAAATAAAAAGAAAATGTAGTCAGTATATACGAAACGGCCCATCTGTACATACTTCTACATAGCCACAATTATTCAAACAGAATACCGCTTGAAATAAGAGTCACATATTAATACTGTGGGACAAAATGTAAGGGAGTGGGGGTGGTCGAGCCAAGATCTTAAGCTACATCATCTCCCACAATGGGAAGTCAATATACAATGTTTAAAATAAAATTTAAACAGCCACCAGAGGGGCGCCTGGGTAGCTTAGCCAGTTAAGCATCTGACTTTGGCTCAGGTCATGACCTCCCGCTTCATGAGTTCAAGCCCCACATCAGGCTCTGTGCTGACAGCCTCAGAGCGTGGAGCCTGCTTCAGGTTCTGTCTCTCTCTCTACCCCTCCCCTGCTTGTGCTCTCTCAAAAATTAACAAAAATTTTTTTAAAAATAATAAAATAAAAACCCAAGTAAGCATAATTGCAAGCATATTTTTTAAAATTATACATATGTATAAATCTGCTAAAATATAAACTTTAATTTAAAAAGAAACATGGGAAGGAATTAGAGACAGTCCAGAGAACTCTTCAAAGCAGATCACAGTAAACACGCCTACTGCCGCCCCCACCACATGCACAAAACGCCCTGATGGCTTTCTCGTGCCGTCTCTTAAATAAGAATGAGAAGCCAAGGATCAATAGGCATTTTGAAAAAGTCTCTAACGTGAAATACAGGGTTATAAGCAAAAAGAAACCAAAGTGGGGAGATGGTGGGGAGCCAGAAACTGTGCTGGAGAAATACAGGGAGAAGAAAATACATAAAAAAAAAACTTCTAGTAATATCCTCAGCAAGATAATAAAAGACACTATGTGCATGAATCAAGAAGAGAATACTGCTGTTTTTTTTTGAAAGCAATAAAAAGAGGGCCACCTGGGTGGTTCAGTCAGTTAAGTATCTGACTTCTGATTTCTGCTCAGGGGTCGGTGATTCCGTGAGTTCAAGCTCCTCATCTCTCTGCCCCTCCCCCACTCACGCTGTCTTTGTCTCTAAGTAAATAAATAAATGGACTAAAAGGAGGAAGGGAGGGGGAAATTTTAATTTAAAAACAAATAGAATCCCACAAATGAAAACAAAATGTAACAGAAGAGTTGGGGTGGAAGGGTGACAGCTGGGTGGTTCTCAGTAGGTTGAGCACCTGACTCCTGATTTTAGCTTAGGTGGTGATCCCAGGGTTGTGGGATCGAGCCCTCCACTGGGCTCTGCACTGAGCATGGAGCCTGCTTAAGATTCTCTCTCTCTCTCTCTCTCTCTCTCTCCCCACCTGCCCCTCTCCCATGCTCACACTCACTCTCTCTCACTCCCTCTAAAATAAAAAGAAAGAAAGAAGAGTTGTAAGATAAAGTTGAGAATATCACCCAGAAAAACAGAAGAAAACGACAGATGAATATGAGAGAATTAGGGGAGAAACTCATGAAGTCTAACATCCAGCTAAGGGGTTTGAGAAGAAAGGAACAGAAATAGAAATGAAACAACAATTTAAAGAAACTTACCAGAATTACAAAGCAGGAGTTTCGCTGCAATGGGCTCACAAGCACATTGGAGGAAAACAGACCTACACTGAGGAAAAATTTCAGAACGCAAAGGACAGACAAAGACCCTAAAAGCTTCCTGAGGGTGGGGACCTGGTCTCAAGAATCAGGAGAATGTGGGACTCCAACGCAATCTCACAAGTCACAACACAACACAGCGATGCCTCCAGACTTTTGAGAGAGTACTTCTAGCCCAGCATTCCATGCTCAGCCACAAACTCACCTAAACATGAGCGCGGAATGCGAGCCACCTTTTGACATGCAAGCTCTCAGCAACGTAACCTCCCACGTACCCTTTCTCAGAAAGCTACTAGAAGATAAGCACCAACAGGAGGGGGAAACCAAGGAGGAGGACGATGTGAGAGCCACACAAGGGCTCCTACCTAAGAGAAGCCAGAGTCCCTGGGGTGGCGGCCAAGGGCCCTCCCAACACGAAACCAGACAGGCAGTGAGAGCAGCAAGCAGGCCAGACAGAAGTAGGTCAGAGGCGCCGAGGGATGTCTTCAGATGTCGAGAGTGACAGTGAACCTGATGTGTTGGTTGTATTGTGAAAGAAGGAAAAAGGAGTCCCGGCAAACAATGCAGGGCAGCTTTGCGCAACATTTTCCAGGCACAATACTGTAGATAACAATCGTGGACCTAACAAGCTATGATGGTATGATGGCTATTCTGAGCAGGTGTGGGGAGGGGCCACAGGTAATCATAAAGGTAGATCCGTGTCCACAGGACTAAACCAGAAGACTTGTGCCCCTAACCGCCCCCCACCCCCACACCTGTTATTCAAATTTCCACCAGGAATCAGTGAAGCTAGGAAGCTGACTACTGGTCACAAATCTTGGGGAATTTACAGGGAATTGACGTGAGCACGGAGAGGCGGCTCAGGATGGACTGACAATAGCTGAGGACGACAGAACAGGAGCAAAGGAGCCTGACTCTGCGACTCAAAGATGACATTTCCTCTCTTCCACCTCTTGCATCGAGGCTGGGATGAGAGACTGAAAAGTTGACTGATCACTTTACAAGGCCCTCAACAAACAAAACTGAAGTCACTGATCATTTATCCTGAACTTCCATTTCTTCATCTATAAAAGTGAGATAAAAATTACACCCCTACCGGGGCGCCTGGGTGGCTTAGTCGGTTGAGCGTCCGACTTTCGCTTAGGTCATGATCTCGCGGTTGGTGGGTTCGAGCCCCGCGTCGGGCTCTGTGCTGACTGCCAGCTCAGAGCCTGGAGCCTGTTTCAGTCTGTGACTCCCTCTCTCTCTGACCCTCCCCTGCTCACGCTGTCTCTCTCTCTCTCTCTCTCCTAGAAATAAATAAAAAAAAAAAATTAAAAATTACACCCCTACCACTTAGAATTATTTTGAACGTTGAATGAGAAAATACATACTCTGAGATCAGTGACTCGGGGTATAATAAGCTCTCAATACATTTTGGTTACTTTTCTCGCCAGAGACTCTTTAAAAAATCGAGTGAACCGGGACGGGGGTGGAGAATTGGGGCGGGGGGCGGGGGGTCTGGCCAACGCTGGAAAGTAGCAGGAAGGAATCGCTGGTTACTCCAGGCTGTATCCCGAGGCACTTGACCCGCCTCCCAGGCGGAGACCCCGACTCTGCAATCGTCTGGCCAGGGGAGGTGTAGGACCAGGGCTGAGAGGAGACGCACAGGTCCCGAGAGCCCTTTTCCAGCTACTGCTCCCCCTCTGCCCCGCGGCACCCTTTAGACGAGGAGATGGGTGGGTGGGCAAGAAGCGGAGAGGACCTCGCGCTCACAAGGAACACTCCCCCACCAACCCGGAGTTACGCAACCGCCTGCGTAAACAAATTCAAAACACTCTTTAGGGACAATGCAGTGAGGTCAGGGACTTCACCCGGAAAACAGCGGCCCCATTCAGAAGACTGACAGCTTGGCTCAGGGATCTTAACCTCTTGGGGTCAGTCCTCTCCGAGAATCCCATGGAAGCTCGGCTCCTTTTCGAGGAAAAAAAAAAATGGATGCTCAGCTATAAAAATAGATGGGATTTCAGAGCTCACTAAGGCAACCAAACCTTCTGATGAAGGCCCGGCGTTCAGCGACACTTCAACCCCGTTCACAGCGGGCTCAACCCAGAGCCACCCAAGTGCGGAAATAAGGGTGGGAGGGCGGAGGCGGGGCTGACACCACCCTTATTTTGTCAAGGGAGGCGCATTCTCTGTCTACTAGAGGGCGGGGGGGAAAGGAAAAAAAAAAAAAAAAAAAAGGAAGAGCTTGCCCTGAGCACTGCGACGCCCGGAGCTGGGCAGCTCGCACGCAGGGGCGACCCCCTCCCGACCCCCAGCCGGCCCGGTACCTGGCAGAGCCGCGTCCGCCGCCTCCTCCGCGCTCTCCGCGTCCCGGGCCTCCCCGGCCCCCGCCGCCTCCGCGCCCCGCTCCTCCGCCGGCCCGCGCGCCCGCCGCTCCGACCCCTCCCGCGCCGCGGGCTCGGCGGGCGGCGGCGGCGAGGCGGGGGCGTGCTGCGGCGCGGGGCCCCCGGCGCCCGACGACGCCGACGACGCCGAGTCGTCCGAGGCGCCGGCCGGGCCCCAGTCGTCCCAGAGCCAGGGCGCGTGCGCCTGCTCCAGCAGCCGGCGGCCCAGGCGGTAGTGCAGCAGCTCCCGGTAGCACGGCCCGTACTCGTCCCAGCGCGGCTCCCGGTAGCGCTTCATGTACTCGCTCTTCACCCCGCTCCCCGGGGACATGGTGCCTCCCGCGGGCTCGAGTGCGCGCGGCCCCGCGCCGCCGCTGCCGCCGCCGCCTACGGGACCGGGGACACGACACAGTGGCCCGCCCCGCCCCTCCCGCCGACCCGGCCCGCCGCGATGTTTAAACCCGGAGCCCCGCCCGGACGGGGCGGGCGGGGGCGGGGCGCGGGCGGAGGGGGCCGGGCCAGGGCGGGGGCGGGGGTGAGGGGGCGGAGGGAGCAGCGGGCGGCGGGCCCCGGGAAGGGGCGGGGCCCGGGAGGACCCTGCCAGGTAGCGCCCGGTCCCGTGACCCTGTCCGGAGAGCCCCGGCTGGGTACTGCGCGGGAGGCTCCGGGAGGGAGGCGTAGCGGCTAGGACCGCGGGGGGTGGGGATCACCTCGGGGGACGGCGGCCAGAGAGGTGGGCTGGGGTGACAGGGCCGCGGGGGGCCGGGTGCCGGCAGGCTCGGGAGTGAGGCAAAGCAGGGGTGGGGGTCCTCGGGGCTCCCTCCGAGCTTACCTCCTCGGTAGCGCGCCGGCCCGTCCTCCGCGCGCTTGGCGCAGCAGCCCCGAGCGGCGCGCTCTACCCCGCGCTTTCCTGCCGAGCAAGATGTCGCCGACGGCCCGGCGGCCCGCGTCCCTGCGGCAGCCGGCGGGAGAAGGCGCCGCCTCAGTCCCCGGGAGCAGACGCCTCCCCCGCGCGCTCCCGGTCCCGGCCCCCGCCCGCTGCGTGGGGGCGGCCGCTCCGGAGCCGAGCGTGAGGCGCGGGGGTGCGGCGCGTCTGCCAGCCCGGGGCCCCAGGCCCACGTCCCCGGCCACCCGGCCCAGGCGCCCGCGCACCCGTGTCCCTAGTAGGCGCCGGCCCAGGCGCCCCCCGCCGCAGGAGGCCTCAGCTGCTGCGGCGTCCGGGGAACGGTGCAGCCCCCCAGGCCCGCGACCCTTCGAGCTCCCCTCCTGACACCCCTGCGCCGCTCGCGTTTCCCAGAAACGAGTCCGCGCGTTGGCTCCTGCTTCCTTCCTGTGGTCACAGCACCTGTTACTGTGGTTTTAACCCCTTTCTACGTTTTAATGGAATTCCTTTCCTGTCGGCACCCCAAACGTTTTTTAAACTTAATGAAAACCGCCACCCACCCTGTCAGAGACCTTTGCACAAAAAACCTGGACAGATCCAGTGCCTTGTGCGGCCGTATACAATGTTGCTGCAGTTGTTACAGTTTCAAGAGTGCTCCCCTCCCCCGCAGATCCTTACCCTCCATTAAAATGAGCCTTGACACATTTCTTACAAGAAAAGATTTGAAAGAAGTTTTGGAAAACCAAAATATTTAGCAGTTGAAAAGCAGTCCTAGGCCATCCATGAGTGAGTTACCCCGTTTTGGCTTTCATACTGGGTTTTCCTCCATTCACCTATTTACTGTTTTAAAAAATGTTTTTTTAATGTTTATTTTTGAGAGACAGGGAGACAGAGTGTGAGCAGGGGAGGGGCAGAAAGAGAGACACAGAATCTGAAGCAGTCCCCAGGCTCTGAGCTGTTGGCACAGAGCCCGAGGGTGGGTCCAGGCCCACAAACCCTGAGATCAGGACCTGAGCCTAAGTCTGACATGTAACTGACTGAGCCACCCAGGCGCCCCTTCATCTGCTATTTTTGCCTCTTTCTTCATTCATGTTCTGCCCTAGCCCCTCATGGAAGCTGAATGATCCAGAGGCTGACACTGCCCAAGTGGGACGGGTCAGACTGTCCTGAGAACTTGAAATGAGCAGTCCAGGAGTCATTACCACTAGATTGTTAATGGCAGTTTTCTGGATGGACACCCCATGGCTTTGACCTCCCCACAGTGGCCCTGATTTCTCCCTTCTCCAGCTTTGCCTTTTGATCCTTGAGACACCCCCAGGAACCTTCTAATGCACTCCACTTTTGTTTAAGTGGCCAGGGTTGGTTTGGGATGGCTGCAACCAGAAGAATGGTAACAAATATATTAATAACCTGGGGGAAATGACAATGTGCAGTTATATGAAAAATGCAGAACAAGCTGTCTCAGCCTTGGCTGTGTAATTAAGCACCCCAAAACTTAGTGGTTTAACAAAGATTGATTGTTTCTCACAATTCTTTTTTTTTTATTTTTATTTTTTCTGAGAGAGAGAGAGGGACAGCATGAGCAGGGAGTGTCAGAGAGAGAGGGAGACACAGATTCTGAAACAGGCTCCAGGCTCTGAGATGGCTGTCAGCACAAAGCCCGACGCGGGGCTTGAACCAACGAACTGTGAGATCATGACCTGAGCTGAAGTCAGATGCTTAACCAACTGAGCCACCCAGGTGCCCCTGTTTCTCACAATTCTGTGGACTAGCCAGGCAGTTCTGCTGGTTTCGCCTTGTTGATTTAGACTCGCTATCCAGTGGCCTTTAGCCAGAGGGGAGCTAGGCTGGAAGGTTCAAGAGGACTTCACATGCCTGGTGGTGGGGCTGGCTGTGCGCTGGCCTGGTTGGGTCCCCTCACTGTGGCTTCATCCTCAGGAGGCTAGACTGGCTTTTCACTTGCTCCTGTCTTCTGAGTGGGTAATGACAAGCTGGGGAGGTCACTTACATCTCTTCTGCTGCATATAATACTCAAACTACAAGGCCAGCCTAGATTCAGAGGGAGAGAGAAATAAACTCCATCTCTGCATGAGAGGAGCAGCAGCAAACTTACCTGAGCACTAGATGGAGAAATTTGAGTTTCTACTTTACAATCACACCTTGACACACATACACACATATGTCAGGTAATATACCATTGTTGTTGTTGTTTTTGTTTTTTGGTATAACTGAAAAATAGAATTAGGAATGATTTGTTTTACTTTTTCTACATCTATTACAGAAAGAGAGAGCTCAGGTGGGGGAGAGGCAAAGAGAGAGAGGGGGAGAGAGAGAATCCTATGCGATGTCAGCATGGAGCCCAATGCAGAGTTTGATCGTGGTTCATGAAATCAAGAGTTGGATGCTTCACTGACTCAGCCAGCCAGGCACCCCGATTTGTTTTACTTTTACCTGTTTTGCACAGTTAAGTGTGTTACTGTGATTCTAATTTTTAAAAGTGTTATTATTCATCAGGGTGCGTCCACTTGGAGGTGATAAAAACCAATTCAACCAGCTTCAACACAAAGGATATTTACTGACTCTGGCAGAGCTAAACCCAGGAACCCAGTCAATGTCATTGCGATTATATGTCTTTCTGTCTTTGAGCTCTGCTTTCCTCTTGGGGCTGGCCTTTTCTTCTCCCACTGTAAATGGACTCCTTCCACATAGCTGAGGAAGTACCCTTGCAGCCTCATGGTCTCTTAGCTTGGGACCACCCACATAAGAGAGCAAAGATTCTCTGGCCACATGCAGAGCTGTTAGCAGGTGTAGGCAGTGATATGATCAGCCACGTCTGGGACATGTGCCCATCTCTGTCGGGGATAGGGTGGCAGGCTGAGATTGACGGCCCATGGGAAGCACGGGGAATGAGGATGGACTGACTCTCAGAAGGAGGAGGGGTAGGCAGACAAAACTGCAGTGCCCACGGGTAGGTGTGTCTTCGTGTCTGGGAACAGGATGAGAACGTTCTAATTTGACAGCACTTGTGAGAGGGAAAAAACTTGGGATGTAGTTGACCTTCAATAAGGTACAGCTGTTAAAAATTTGAATACAATCGGCTGCCTGGGTGGCTCAGTTGGTTGAGCATCTGACTTCGGCTGAGGGCATGATCTCAAGGTGTGTGAGATCGAGCCCTGCATGGGGCTTGCTGCTGTCAGCACGGAGCCTACTTTGGATTCTCTGTCCCCTGGCTCTATCTCTGCCCCTCCCCCACGCACGTGCTCACTCTCCCTCTCAAAAATAAACAAAAAATGTTAAAAATTAAAAAAAAAAGAAATTTAATACAGTCATAGTAGTATCTATAAAGTTGCATTTCTATTTCCCTCTAAAGAATTGTCTGTTCATACAGCACTGAAAGCTGCTGATGTGGAGGAGAGTGCGTGTTATGTTCTGCACGTGGAATTAGGACCAGTGAACAGACATTACAAGATATAACTGTGGCAAATATAGTAGACTTGGAACGCTTTTTGTTTTTGTAATGTTTATTTATCTTTGAGAGAGAGAGACAGCTCGCAAGCAGGGGAGGGGCAGAGAGAAAGGGTGAGCCAGAATCCGAAGCAGGCTCCAGGCTCTGAGCTGTCAGCAGTGAGCCAGATGCGGGGCTCAAACTCATGGGGCCATGAGGTCATGACCTGAGCCAAAGTCAGATAGATAACCGACTGAGCCTCCCAGGAGCCCCTTGGAACTGGTTTCTTAAGCAAGAGGGAAATTTTAGAAATTGCCTAGGAAGCTCACAGAAGAAATAGAGAAGGTGGAATATGGGCAGGCATCAAGGAGACCTCTGAGGCCAGGCTGCAGGGTCCTGGATGGACAAGAGGGAAGATCTGCCCCCTTGACTTTGGTAGAGGGAGGCTTCAGTGAGAGGCAGCCCTGGGAGAGCCTCTCTACCAGGGTGACTGGGGAGCCAACAGGAAGGAATGCTGAATCCTGGGAGATTTTAGGAAAATAATAGATATTTGCTACATAGGCATACAGATTCAACATTAAGACCTGCTAGTGACTCAGTCTGGCCAGCCATGGAATGGCAGCCTCACAAAAGGTGAGTGCTTTGGCTGATCCTCTGAGCTCCCTGCTTCCCAGAGCCCTTCCGCCCAAATCCTCTGGCACTATCAGCCCCTCAGGGTGCCCCCATCCTGTGTCAATAACCTTGTCCTTCTTTAGCGCAGGGTGGCCGTCTTCCAAGAGCTTTCTCCACTTCACTTGTCCTTTCTTCTGAGAAGATGTTCTTTCCATATCAGGTGCTCTGCTCCCAACTCTCCTGATCCCTCCCCTCCGCCCCCATCCAAACACAAACATACTCAGAAGTCACCCATCCACTCTGTCCTTTCTATAACTCCACCTCTCAGTGGAGAAGCTGCCAATGCTAGACCTTCTTCCTAGAGCCTCCCTGGCATCTGGAGCGCGATGATGGGACCCTGAACTCTGTTCATCAGATACTTATGTCCCGAGACTTGCCATCAGGGTTTCCTGTTGCATGGAAGCAAGGACCAGGAGGCT